AATTGAACCTCTCCAAAACCGAGTTTCTTGTCTTCCCCCCAGCCCGGACACCACCCCCCATTGATTTCTCCGTCACATCCAACAACGCTACCATCAAACCCGCCCTGCAGGCCAGAGTACTGGGTGTCATTCTGGACTCCAACCTATCCTTCCAGCCCCAAGTCCAATCTTTAACAAAGTCGTGCAGACTCCCCACCTCCGCAACATCGCCAAAATCCGCACGTTCCTAACCCCAGAAACCACTAAACAGCTCATCCACTCCCCTCATCATATCACGACTCGACTACTGCAAACTCCCTCCTCACTGGCCTGCCTCGCCGCTGGCTATCCCCGCTTCAGTCGATCCTGAATACGGCTGCCAGACTCATTCACCTTTCCAACCGCTCTGTCTCCGCCACCCCCCTCTGCCAATCCCTCCACTGGCTTCCGATTGCGCAACGGATCAAATTCAAAATCCTAACGCTGACGTACAAAGCTGTCCACCATACTGCCCCGTACTACATCTCTGACCTAATATCCAAGTACCGCCCAGCACGCACACTCCGCTCCTCACAAAGACCTCCTTCTCTCTAGTTCCCTGGTCTCCTCCTCCCATGCCCGCCTCCAGGACTTCTCCAGGGTGTCACCCTCTCTGGAACTCCCTGCCCCCAACCCATCAGATTATCACCTACTCTCCTCTCCTTTAGGCGCACCCTGAAAACCCATCTCTTCAGGGAAGCCTACCCCCACCCCCTGCTAACTTGCCGACCTCCTCCACTCTTCCTACCACTCCATTCCCCCACAGCTATCTCCTCCTGTGCCACCACCCCCTCCCTCCTAGATTGTAAGCTCGAAAGAGCAGGGCCCTCGATCCCCTCATGTATCGCATTGTATTGGTATTGTTCTGTCACATGTTCTGTCTCCCTTTGTAATGTACAGCGCTGAGCGAACTATTGGCGCTTTATAAATACTGTATAATAATAATAAAATAATATATTCGCAACCATAATTCATGTTTAATCATATATATGTGTGCGGATTTATATTTATGTACATTTTTAATATATATTCTTTATTGTATTTTACTGTATATCCTATATCCATTGACATCATGTATTATATATATTTATTGTACATAATTTTATACACTTTTTTTTTTTTTATGTGTTTTATTAATACGATAGGTTCTTTGGTGTGGGAGTGATGTCCTCAGTGCTTGGCTACTTTATGTTTTCATTGGTATTTTCGTCAATTTTATTGGAATATACTGATATTGCCACTATTTACATGTATATACAATTATATGTGTGTATTTATACATTTACTTTAGTATTTTTAATCCATCCATTTACTAACATTGGTTCTACCGATTTCACATATTGATTATTTAATAAGTATGAAATCACTACATTTTCCACAATCCTTTATTTGTGGAAGCTAGTGCCCTCTATTATTGCCCCATTTGATTAGGCACATTTGAGGCTGGATAGCCTTTTGAACTAAGAGAGCTCTCCTGGACATTCGTTTCTGCCAACCTGAGCCTTGTCAGTGTGCGGGTTGGCAGGGAAACTAGGGCCCTGTTTAGATGGAGCGGGCGCCGCCTCACACGTGCGCAATGGCCATCAGATATGCGCTTATGAGATCGCGCCGACGGACCAGGTCCTTACATAGTGCGCATGCGCGTGCTGGACCGTGCACGCGTCGTTACTACCACACCACACTGGCATGCGTTCCATGGTCAGAACCAGTCTGCAGCCATATTAAATGACACAAGATCTCCCTCTGCTGCCGAACATGAAATATCACTGATCCATCTGGTCCATTTAAAACATGATAGTTCCACCTCCCTATCTGCATTAGTCACACCTTTGCCTGGTATTGCATGTGAATATCCACTTTTTTTATATATGTGTATATACACCTTTTTATTGATAAATTGATGTATTTTCTGTCATTTTCCAATTATGTTTAGCAAGCACTCTGGACAAATTGCCCATTCTATATACAAATCACTTGCCGTTCATTGATCATCCAACTATGAGTTTTTCTTTCTCTTGCATGTATTTCATAATCAGTTGTAATACTGCCACGATTTTATGCATTTAAATTTAATGAGTTATTGTATATTTTTTTTTTTATCTGTCTTCTGATGGCTTGATAACAAGATATTGTACCTTGCTGACTTCTTAGCCCCTCCTCCCAGCCTGAGACTGCCCAACCCAGAGAGGAGGGCCAAATTTTAGTCTGTGGGCATAAATGGGAGCGAACACTCTCAGTCCAGTTAGCTCTGATGAAGAAGGCATGGCCTTTGAAACGCGTCAGCTGTACTGAGTGTCTACCCCCATGATGGGATTAGCGCTGGCTCCTTATCTCTTAAGTCCCTCGGAGGACTTACATGCCTGATTTTATTCGCAGTTTGTGAGTACCATTCTTTAATTAATAAATTTTGGTTACTCAGGTAATGCGCAAGGTTGGTGCGCTTCTCTTTTTTGTTTTACTTTGCAGTATTGGTCGGGCTTCCCCAGCCTTGTTTGATGCTGCACAACATTTTATGCACTGGTGGTCGGTTTTTTCTGGTTTTGGTTCCATCCACTCGCCACCGGCCTGGGTCCTACAGCGCAGGAGAAATCGCATCTGGTCTATTGTGAGTGCCATGGACTTGCGCGGCTGGCCCCCTGAGCCATTTGCACAACTCGTGTGATCAGTCTAGTTTCACACTTGTGGGGGTCAGGAATGCTTCCAGAATTGCGCTCATTCCCAGCCCACAGGCAAAACATGCTGCTTTTTAGCAAACGCATCAGGGGGTGCCATTAAATTTTTTTTTTTTTTAAGGCACCCCTATGCATTGGAAAATGCAGCCGATTTTCAGATGCATCAAATCGCAAACTGTGGCATGATGTGCTTTGGGAAAAAAAAAAAGCCATGGGCCTTTTTTTTTCCTATGGGTAAGGCAGCCTATTGAAATCAGTGGACTGTCTACACTAGAATTCTGAACCTAGCATCATAGTCCAACAACGCAAGCACTGTGTCTGGGCTGGGAGATCCTGTTGTTCATCGGTTCTTCTTTCATTCCACTGCATTGTAGGGCAATAATAGTATGGCAGAGGGGGCTGTAAATGACAGCAGTCCTTCCCGCTCACAGCCCTGCAAGCGCATTTTCAAGGCGCATAAAGGGAGGACTTACACATGGCATACACACCAAAACAGGGAGCTCATGTGTTTCTCGCTGTACTCCCTGGAAAAGGTACTAAACTTGAGTGTTAAGCTGGCCATACATGTACAGATTTCAGGTCCTCTCACATGGGATGGACCCGTTTAACGGATCAGCTCGCTCAGCGGGGATCTCTCTACTGATCCCCGCTGTGCAAGTGGATGACAGCTGTGCCCGCTCCGTGCTGCAGAGCATACACAGAGCTACTCACTCTCAATAGGTGGTCGGATGAAAATGGACCACTTGTCCGTTTTCATCAGACCTGATCCGACGGACAGAAGGGGAATTGGTCGGATGAACTTTTTGGCGGATCGGATGTCGGCGGGTGTAAACGCACACATGTCCATTTACACCCACGGCTCCATAGAGGAGAAAGAAGGTTCCGATCAACTCGGCATGAAAAACGGGCAGGTGGACCCGATCGTTACATCCATGTGAAAGAGCCCTTATGTTCAAGAGTTTGTTTCCAGAATACGCTTGATTGTCTCATCGTTAGTGGGGTCAAATCGATGTTCATTTTCCACAGCAGTGACAGGAAAATTTGAAGGGGCTGGAAGGAAAAAAACTTCTCGATCAAATGAATTTTCAGCCAGTGTATGTGGTTATCGTTCAGAAATTACATTCATTTTAAAGTCAAACTCTAAACGCAAAAGACAATTTTCGGACAATCATCCATCCATCAAACGTTCAAAGAATTTTCATACGATTTTTCTTACAGATATTCTTGACTGAAAATCTACCCGTGTATGGCCACCCTAAAAGTAGAACGAAAGGCAAAACCTTCTCATTTTGGATAGAGTGGAGATGGATTAGAATCCCTCACAGTTTATATTGCAGTCTGTGCCCCCATTAGGGAGATCCACCCTCACCATCTGTCCTGTTTACCATCATCATTGAAAGTGAAAGTAAAAGAAAATCCCACATTTGGGGTCGTCCCCAGAATGGTAATAGAGGGGGATCTTCTAATGGGGACACTAGTTCTGGTGACATCACGTTTGGGGGGGGGGGGATTTCTTCTCACTTCCTGGTTTTTTGGTATGGGACTGGAAGTGAATGAAAATCTCCCCAATGAGGCACACATGACCAGATGGGCTAGAACCCTCCAAAATTAAGGTTTTGCCTTTAATTCTACTTTAGGAAGAAGTGAATAGCTGGGTGTCAATGGCCCGGCCATGGCAGGGGAGTCATATGACTGTACAAAGGCAGGTCACGTGTCCCCCTCTGCTGGGACAAGGGAAGAGCGATCACATCGTCTACACACACTCCAAGCGGTTCACCTCTATTCCCCACGGTGCTGCTGGGGCCCCGGCTTCCCGGGGAACCCCTTTCTGCCTCGGAGCCCTCGGCAACTGTGTCTGGCCCCTGGATCCGGACTCTTTTGCTGAGGGGTTCTTCTCCTCCGTCCACCCCAAACACCGCACTCATTGCTTCGCACAGGCCGCCGAGAATCGCTGGCTCATCCTTCACGCGGCACTTTCCACCTCACTGACAATCCCTATCAAATCACCGCCTCTACCTCTCCTTCTCTCTGCGCTTTTCCTGGGAGTCCGAACTTTGGAAACGCCCACCTAACCCCTTGGCGCATGCTCGCTACATGATGTACGCCTGCGCAAAATGCGGCTCGCCTCTCATTGGCTGTTTGTGACAGCGCCAACGAACAACAGGGTCGTTTCGGCTTCAGAAGCCGTAAAGTGCAGCTGGTGCGAGAAAAAGGAAGTTGCGAGCGTAGAGCGGAAGTGGTCTCTTTTTACAGCAGTTGCGGAGAGGTCAGGCAGGGGATTCGGAGACACGCGGCCGAGCTTCTAGGGAGATGGACGGAAACAACCACCCCGGGAGCCGGGGAGGGTTCGGCGGCATCTTCGGAGGGGCCCCGGGTTACCCGCATGGAGACCTGGCCGGGGTACCTTGTAAGTGTCTGAGCAAAGAGCGGGAGGCTCACTTCAAGCCTGTGTGTGATCGGTGACCTCCCTCAGGTCTGGTGTGTACACATCGGCCTCTGTCTTTCATCATTACCCAGCACTAGTATACATCGTCCCCTATTTACTCCCTGCCCTCCCCATCACATACATACCAGCGACCAGCATGTCTATGGTGTGTGCAAGGAGGTCAGAGTACTCCTAGGAAACCCCCTCAGGCGATATACACACTCTATGCAGATGGGGCCCTGAAGTGGATTTGAACAGGGGGCCCCAGTGTTGTAGAGCAGAACTGCTAACCACTGAGCCGTGTCTGATTGCTTCTCTATGGGCTGGTATATGTACCAGCATGCCTATGGTGTGTGCAAGGATATCAGAGTACTCATAGGAAACCCACACAGGGAATATACACACTCCATGCAGATGGGGCCCTGTCCTGGATTCAAACTGGGGACCCCATTGTTGTAAGGTAGAACAGCTACCCCCCCTGAGCCACCAGGCTGTCTGATCATTTCTCTATAGGCTGTTATATATACCACCTACCAGCATGTCTATGGTATGTGCAAGGAGATCAGAGTACTCATAGGAAACCCACACAGGGACTATATACACTCCATGCAGATGGGGACCCAGTGTGGTAGGGTATAACAGCTAACCCCTGAGCCACTAGGCTGTGTCTGAACACTTTGCTATAGGCTCTTATCAGGGACATCCCTTTATTTTACCAGTGTAATTCAACTCTTCTTGTTTGTGCTTTACCGTCCATATGTTAGATCATATAATAATAAATGTAAACATAAAATGTGAACAGATGATTTAGTTTCTGGTTTGTTTCCCTTCAGTAACAGGAATGAGCCCTCTCTCTCCATATTTGAACCTGGATCCCAGATATTTAACCCAGGTAAGAGATTTTATTAATCAGCAGTCAAACTTTGAGACGTTTGAAGTATTACTAAATCCACAACAGAAAAATCAGTCTGTATATGCAGTAAAGCATGCTTGTTATACTCACTGTGGAACTAGGGATGCACCGAAATTTCGACCACCAAAACATATCAGCTTAAAGTAACCTTATCAATATTTAGCCGATATAGGGGACTGTGTGTACTGCAGGGGGAGAAAGGCAGGAGAGGAGCAGTGTATACAGTGACTAACTATCACTATAAATTAGTGCCGGTTTTTAAATGTAATTACCGGCTTTTTTTTTCTTCACTATAGCTCAGAAAATGAGCTAGCTCTTTCCCCGAGCTAAACAATGCGTTTTTTTTTTTTAGTTTCTTTCCCGAGCTAAAATAAACAGTTTCCTTTAGCTCTGAGGAAGTGACAGCTCATTCTCTGAGCTATAGTGAAGAAAAAAAAAAGCCAGCAATTGAAAAACCGGCACTGACATATAGGGGTTTATTTACTAAAGCTGGAGAGTCCAAAATCAGACTCCCTTCTGCATAGAAACCAATCAGCTTCTAACCTCAGCTTGTTCAATGAAGCTTTGGCAATGAAACCTGGAAGCTGATTGGTTTCTATGCAGAAGTGAGTCTGATTTTGGACTCTCCAGCTTTAGTAAATAAACCCCATAGTGACAGCCAGCGAGGGAGCCTCTCTGTATACACTGCCCCCTCACTGTATACACTGCTCCTTTCCTGCCCCCTCCTTGCACACACTCCCTCCCCCCACCCCCCCCCCCCCCCCCCCCCCCCCCCCCCCCCCCCCCCCCCCCCCCCCCCCCCCCCCCCCACAAAGATGGCCTGTCACTCATATGCTATCACCTAGGGGACTATTGGTTCCCTATGTGATCGCAATAAAATCATAAGTTAAAAAATAAAAATATACATGAAAGTAGAAAGAAAATACCAAAAAGCAGTTGGAGCCCCCCCCCCACATACGCAGATATTTCGGTTTCAGTTAGATTTTTTTTTCGGCCACATGCATTCTGAATTTTCGGTATCACTGGACCAATCGGCACTGTCCAGACAGAGGGTCAGGGGTCCTGCACCCTCCTTCAGGGGAATGAAAGTTCCTCCTACAAGCTTTAATCAGTGCCTGTTAGACACTGATAGAAGTCACAAGACTGCTCTAACTGCTGCTGAGAAAAGGTATTTAGCAGTTTATATTTACTTCAGTACTCACATTTCCATGTTGCGTGTACTGTGGGAGACGGATGTAGTGAATGCAGGGTCCTAGGTTTAGTAACACTTTGAGGTGTATCTAAACCAAAAAAAACAATATCGCGGCTTTCTAGTTCTTCAATGTGATGGTGGCTGCATGATATTCCTACAACTAAGGCCTCATTCACACAGAGCATACAATACGGCAACTAACCATTATTTTCATAATCGATTAATTGGTTGAGTGTTTCGATTAATTAAAAACCTCAAAAAAGTTTGGTGTATAATTTAGCTAATATGTAAAGTAATTTATTCTTGAATATCTATATGCAGTGGAAAAATATAAACAATCCGCTATATGGTTAGGGAACAAAATATCCAATCCGCTGTGAGCATAACAAGCCGAAGAGAAATCTATACTATTAGATGTTGAATCTGGTACATATCAAACTCCAAGATCAAAGTTTTGCACAGAGTCCTGACTTCAACCTGATAGAACACCTTTGGGATGAATTAGAGAGGAGACTGCGAGCCAGGACTTCTCGTCTGACATCCGTATCTGACCTCACAAATGCGTTTCTGGAAGAATGGTCAAACATTCCCATAGACATACTCCTAAACCTTGTGGACAGCCTTCCCAGAAGAGCTGAAGTTGTTATAGCTGCAAAGGGTGGGCCAACTCAATATTGAACCCTACGGACTAAGACTGGGATGTCATTAAAGTTCATGTGTGTGTAAAGGCAGGCGCTCCAATACTTTTGTCAATATAGTGTGTGTGTGTTACATAAACGTTCTATCGTATATGTAATAAATATACCCAGAAGCAGTATATACAGGGTATTTTAACTAGGAGTCAGACAGGAAGCTGCATGGTGTAATCAGATGCTGTGAAGGGTAAAGTAAAGTGTACTTGTCACTGCCTATTGCAATCACGGGATATTCCCTGTGATAACAAAAGTGATTAAAAAAAAAAAAAAATTTAAATTAAAGCATCCTATACTCTTGTGCAAACAGTGGTTGTCCAACACTTGTGAGGTATCACTGCGAATGTCAGATGAAGGGCAATAATTCTAGCACTAGACCTCCTTGTGTAGATCTAAAGTAACCTGTAAGGGCTTTTAAAGCATCGCCTATGGATAATAAAATGTTGGCCGTTTGTCACTGTTGCATGGGCATGCGCAATTTTAGACCATGACGTGTTTTGGTATCTATTTACTTGGCGTAGCATCCTCCTTAAATTTTACTACACCATTGAATATTGTGTTTTTTGTGCATTTAAATTCAGATTTTTACATGTAAACAAAGTGCGTCAGAAAAGGCTTGGCCTTCAAGAGGTTGACAAGGCCTAACACGTTCTGCTTCTGTGTGTTTACACATATTTCTCCATTGTATGGGTGTCTCCCAAGCTGAACTTCAACAATGTCTTCCTTTTTATCTCTGTTAGGTGGAGGAGGATGGGGTTAGTAGTTTACAGGGAAGGGAAGATGGTTTGTGCTTTGTTAAAGTGGGACTTTGAACGAAAAAATAAAAAATGTTTGATCAGGCAGGCTTTTTATTGCAGAAGAGAAATAATACACCATGCAATGTAACTTCTGCAGTAAAGGACTGTTGCCTATCTGTCTGCAATATAAACTGAACTGCGCATGTGCAGCTCTGTATACTCTTTCAGCAGCTGCCAGGATGAATGAACTCCCATGCATACCTGGGAGTCATTGTGGCCCAGCCATTCAAGGTAGCTGAAGATCCTGAACTCTGAAGAAAACCAAGTAAAGATGCCAGTGTGGGAGCTTGTGGACATCACATCACTTACGGGAAGGTGAGTATAGTTCTGCTTTAGGCTCACATGATGTTGCAAGGGCACTGCATTAGGATCAGTAGATATTTTCTGTAATGTCTGAAAAATGAAATCTAATGCAGTTATCACATCCAGGACTGGTATGGCACAATATTAATTTGTTGTTGGGTTTAGTTATCCTTTAATTGTAGAATCACAGATACTTTATCTGCAATATGAACGTAACTCTAGCTAAAGGGGTGAAAATTTGCAAATAATTACAAGAAGAAACCAGTAACCCCATTCTTTTCTCCATTTGGAGCAGTGAAACTGTTCTTTGCAACTGTTTATGTCCACCTGTTAGTGTATTCAGCTGTTTGCTTTTTAAATTATTGATAGTAATCCTTTACTGTTTATGCAGCCTTTAAAGGATGTGTAAATAATTTTAAAGGAGAAGAGTACTGCAGCCTTTCATAAAATTGCCTGCATTGGTAGTACACTTAAGATCCAGACCTGCTTCTCAACATAGTGCAACGACTTGGATCCCCAGAGGTCCAGATCACCCTTTGAAGAGTGCTTCACAGAGAACATGAGTTCCATGTAGATACCTCTCAGATGACCAGTGTGCTACAAAAAAAAAAAGATTTTTCACATCCAATTCAGTCTGGCTTTTTTTACATTAAGAAAAGGAAAGTTTTAATTTGACTTAAAAATAAAAACATAATTTCTGTCTGATGCTTTTCCTCCCTGTCTGGTGAAACCATGTCAAGCAAACAAGTGAAGGGAGATCCATATCCTGGATAGCAAAAAAAAAACCTGACTACAGTTCTCATTCTTCCCACAACTAAAGGAATAGAAGTTTTGGCTGGGCTGGAAAATCAATAAAGGCAATCTTTTCACGAGAAAAATATGGAGATTGACATCTTCTGTTGAAAATGCTACTTACTTGGCTATCATAGGGACCCTCTGGCTTTAGTACTGCAGGGCAATCTAACATTCAGGCAGCTAGCATTTTCAGCAATGACCCGTTGTGTTTCTCTCAGGAAAAATTTACTCCAGAAATGTCTGGCCTTTTGACTGGTTCCCCCCCCCCCCCCCCCCCCCCCCAAGTTTGCTGGGTAAAGAACACTTCAGGAGTGTTTTAATCCTTTGGGTACCCCATAGCTTTTGTTGGTGCCTTAAAGTGTTACTAAACACATGACCCTGCATTCACTATTTTTAGTCTCCCACAGTACATGGAAATACAATTATTTTAGTAAATATAAACTGCTAAATACCTTTTCTCATCTGCAGTCTTGTGACTTCTACCAGTGTCCAGCAAAGCATTGGTTAAAGCTTGTAGGAGGAGTTTTCACTCTCCGTTTTGAGGCTGCATAACCCCTGACCCTCTGTCTGGACAGTGTTGATTGGCCCTGTGCTAACATGCAGTCTCCCAAGAAGAACAATTCTAGCAATACACCTCAAAATGAGCATGTGCAGCTTGCCCCAAAGCTCCGATCTATCGGAAGATGGATTGGGGACAGTAGAAGGGGAGGATCAGAGAAGACAGGATCAAACCGCCTTTTTACACAATGTAGAAGATTAACCCCTTAGGTTCCACTGTGAATATAACAAGCATACTTTACTGCATATACAGACTGATCTTAATGTTGTGGGTTTAGTAACACTTTAAAGGGTTCACCTTTACAAAAAAAAAAAAAACTGCAGGATGGGAACTTTCTGTACTGTTTCTAGAACAAAATTGAGTCAGACTGAGTGCTGTTCAGCCATTCAAAGGAAGCCTTGTATTTTTATAAATTAATTTTTATTATATGAAGAAGATTATTACCGTTAAGAGCATAAACTGTCATTTTCAGTTTTTGGACAAAATATGTGCTTTTAAAAGCATACTTTTCCTTAAATATGTCATCCTTTAGGACTCAGAAGAGTTTATTTTGCCTACTGGTGCAAACAAGACGCGAGGAAGATTTGAACTGGCATTTTTCACAATCGGAGGATGCTGTATGACAGGTTTGTAGCATGACTCGTTTATAATCTGATCAGAAATGCTCCCCGTCTACCAGATGATGCTGCCATGCTCTGGTGGTATGATCAAAAATGCTCCGTCTACCAGATGATGCTGCCATCCTCTGTTGGATGATCAAAAATGCTGTATCAACACAGCAAAGCATTTAAGCCTATCTGGCCTAAACAAAGGTTGGGCCGAACCATTTTATATCAGGTTCAGTAATCTGGCGGTAACCAAAATCAGTCAAAGGTAATTCTCCTATGGACTCTAAAGGTGAGATCTCACTGTAATAGTGATGATTTTGCCTTGGACTTGTCACTTCTTTTGTATTCCCAATAATAAAAAAATGTTTCATAGAAACCAAGATGTCTTCATGCCAGGGTAAGAGTGCAAGTCTGAGAAATAAGAGATTAACAGCTAGAATTGCATGAGATGTACGAGGTGATTTTTACTTTTTCAGCATCTAGCAGATACTGAAAATCAGCTTTGAATGTACTACTCCTTTAAAGCTGAAGTATAGTCACTGCTTTTTTTTTTTTTTTTTTTTTTTTTTTTTTTACACATTGGTCATTTGGAAATCAGAAAGACATTTCAACCCTCAGAGCAGTGGAATTGCATGACATGATGAAACTGTCTTATGTAATTGTCTAATGCTGCCTTGCAACACTTGGCAGACTTCTGCATAGGAGAACGTTTAAGTATCATGAGAAGGCAGGGATGTCAGCAAAGTCAAATATTCTTCCTTTTTTTTTTTTTTTTTTCCCAGCTCTCACTCTGTAAAAACCCCATCCTTCCTGGTTTTGGGTAAACACTAAACCTATTCTCGCTCCCAAAATTCCTCACTCTAGGCAGCTATTGTCTGTCCCAAGTGTTGTCAGAGGAAAGGGAATTTTTACTCTAAATATATTTTTCAAAAAGTAAATGGTTGTATAGGCCTTTAGAGTATATTTAGCAGTGTTGAGGCCTTCGAGAAGGTGAAAGCAGGCACCTTATGGTTCCTGCTACTATTCATTTGAATGTTGGGACCTAATACAGTGTTGCTCTAGGTCTTTATATTGTATTATCATTTTTGAAAACTCAAATTATCAGTGTAATCAAGTGGATTCTTACATTTATTCTTCCAGCTTGTGGCAGAATAAGATGAATTGGCTGCTGCTGTAGGCCATTGTGCATTTAGGGACTTAGGGTGGACCTCCATATTATGTTGGGGCACATGCCCTGTACAAACTCATCTGTTGGGGGGCCTTCCCCTGCAAAAAAAAAAAATATATATATATATATATATATATATTATATATTTTTTTTTGGTAATATATAATTATGGTACTTCTATAGTGCCATCAATTTATGTAGTACTTTACATATACAATATATTGTACATATACATCAGTCACTAACCCTCAAGTGGTGTACATTCTAAGGTCCCTAACTCACATTGATACATACACATTCTAGTGCCAGTTTAGAGCCAATTAACCCACCAGCATGTCTTTGGAGTTTGGAAGGAAACCCGTACAGGGAGAACATGTAAACTCCGTGCAGGTAGTGCCACTGTTGGTATTCGATCCAACGACTATAGTGCTGCCAGGTGGAAGTGCTAACCACTTAGCCACTGTGCTGTCCAATAGCACATGCATGAGGAGATGCAAATATCAGAAAGCCGTCAGAGAACCAGGAAGCTATTTTGTTTTGTTTTTTTTCCTGTTTTTTTGGTGTGGAATAAGTATAAAAAAAGCTTGTTACTATTGATAATTTGGCTGGTTTTCCTCAGACACATGAGTCCTTGTGGACTGATCTGTTGTACACCAGGGCTCTCACAATTCTCTAAAGTTACACATTACGGTGTGTTTGTGGTTTTTTTTTTTTTTTTTTTTTCCTTTTTTTCTTCCAGGCAGGTGAAAGTTGTAATGCAGACCACCACTATTACTGATCCAGTGATCCTTTTATGTTCCTCTATGCAGCATGCATAGTCCATCAAAGGACTCCCTCTGTATGGCTGTCTAATGAAGAGTACACACAGATCCCAGCGGTAGTCAGCTGTCCAGTGTTTTCCATGTCTGTGATAGTGTTACACTGCTGGGAGATAAAGGCACTACTCATTCATGCTGAAGTCCATTGTTACCGTTCTGGTGACCTGTGGAACTTCAGCTTGTAGTAGTGCTGTGATTCCTTGAGAGTGCACCTTACAAGCTCTATTTGTTTGGCGCTAGTTTGGGACTTGTACAGTTGATCTATCGTGCAGCAAATGTTATACTTCAGAATGCCAGTCCACAAAACCAATCATTCCATTAGCATGTGCATCAAAGTATCTTCTGTATCTATACACTAAACAGACTGGGGTAGATTTATTAAAGCTGGAGCATTCAGAATTTGGCGCAGCTGTGCATGGTAGCCAATCAGCTTCTAATTTCAGCTTGTTCAATTAAGATTTGGCAATAAAACCAACTATGTAGTTTCACCCTCCAGTTTTAGTATATAACTTTCACGGTGTATATGGAAAGGTTGGTAACTGTTATAACAATTATCTATATTTTTGAATATTTAATTTGTAATATGGGATCGTTTATTTGACTTTTAGGAGCAGCCTTTGGTGCACTTAACGGGTTGCGCCTTGGATTAAAAGAAACCCAGGATATGGTCTGGTCCAAGCCCAAGAATGTTCAGTGAGTACAGCATGAATACTCTTCCTCTGTCAATTATAGTCAACTGCCCATACAGGTTTGCTTTGAAAATGGCAATGTCAGCAGTCTGTTTAAGCCTGGTAAAATCATCTATAGGCTGTACAGCCACCAAGCCCTGGATTGTGGAAATAGACAAGTGTTTTGTCTTTACCCATATTTCTGGCTGTTTCTCTGCTCTGACTGTGGAGGATAAAGTTAATGGTGAGTAAGCGCTGCTGATACTGTTTCCCATGAAGAAAACCTATTGAGTTACATATATGGGCTTAGTACAGTGTTTAAAAGCCTCTTCATCTGGATGAGGTGCCATGCATTTTGCTGGATTTTTTTTTAATACAAGCATTTTTTGTGACAACCAGCAGTACATGCAAATCAGCAAAACACCAGCAGGTGGCAGTATATGCTTGGTGTGTCCTTGACAAAGTCCTTTTGGTAAAGGTTATTCTAGAAATGAGATTTTAAAAATTCTGATTTTTACATTCTTAAAGGAAACCTGCCCTGAATAAAAATGCAGGCTGTCATCATGGTTCTCTCCTGAGAATTATAGTTGCTTGGTTGTCATATGGACCCTCTAGCTTCAACCGTTTTGGATCCCTGACCTACAAATACGCACTTAAGAACCTATTACGTTCTGGATCTGTATACTTTTCCCACTTCTGAGAATCAAAGTATTAAGCTATTGAAAGTCAGAGTTCAGAATTTTCCGGGTTTTGGGGCTATTCACCAACGGATGTAGCATACTTTGCAGAAATGTGTGCAGTGCACGTGTGCTACTATTATATGCTTGTGTGGGAAGGGGATGTGTCGACACATATACGGGGGCTTATAGCAGAAGGAAATGCCAGGGCTGTTGGGCTTACTGAGCAGACCAGCTGGAAGTGTTTGTTTTGACGTAGGCTTTACACCTTGACAGGAAAAGGGTTAAAGTGCACTTTTCTATTAGCCAACGTTTAAAGCAGAACTAAAGTTTCACTGTCCCAAACAGCAGGCAGGCTCTTTATTACGAAAGAGACATTGCATGTCTGTTCTGCAATATGATGCACCTGCCTATCTGCGTACTGTCCTATCTGACATGGAAACTGAGCTGCACATGCGCAGCTCAGCTTGCATCACCAGCCTGGTCTCTGTAGGTTTTTTTTTTTTTTTTTTTTTTTTTACTTGAGCTGGAAAGTGCAAAATTAGGCTCACTTCTGCATAGAAACCAATCTGCTTCTAATCTCAATTTGTTCAGTTAATCTTTGGCAATAAAATCCAGAAGTTGATTGGTTTCTATGCAGAAATGAGCCTGATTTTGCACACTCCAGCTTTAGTAAATGAACCCCTGTGTGTCAGGATGAATGAAGACTGGCACACAGCAGAAGATGCCAACAAGGGACAGGACCACTGAACTAATGGTAAGTTTTTAGTTCCACTTTAATTTTGAATTGTTAGCTAGGGTATAGGGCCGTACAGGTCTTTTAAAGGAAAAAAAAAAAAGTAGTCCATTCCAGCAGTAGTCAGCTATCCAGTGCTCTCTGGTGCCTGTGATAGTGTTACACTGCTGGCAGATAAAGGCACTGCCACCCAATACCTCTTGCCACACTCGCTGTTTTGGTGATGTGTGGCATTGGTATCAGGCAGTGTCATTTCTCCTTGAGAGTGCGCTGACCGCCTCTTTTCCTGGGGTCTGGTGCTAGTCTGGAAGTATACATTTGAATTTTTTATCCTGTACACTGGTGGTCTTTGTTTAAATCTTGTTGCCACAATTTAATGATTGTGTAATACTTATTAAAGTAGTGTAATGTTCATATGAGCAGTAGTCCTTTTTAATCTAGTTTTTTACAACTTTTTTGGGGGGTATGACTATGTTTAAAGTGCACATTTGATATTTCATATCATTTTCTGCCTGTGTCACATTGCTGTGTTCTTTATTTTCTCCTCAATTGAATTGTCATATTTTCTACCTCCTTTATTTTACTGTTCTAGTCCTGCCCAGTTTTCCAAATCTCATTGAATGTTTAAAAAAAAAGTGTATAATAAAATCTTTATTTACAAGGGATGTACCAAAATTTCGGCGGCCGAAACATATTGGCCAAAAATAGCCCTGTTGGCGTTTTGCTAATAGGAAAAAGTGAGCTGATACAGGTGCCGATAATTGCAGCCCGAGGGGTGGACTGACTATTTTGCCTGGGGTTTGGGGGGACTATTTGTACTGCAGATGGGGGAAGGGCGGCGGAGAAAGGCAGTGTATACAGACAGGCTTCCTCACTTGCTGCCACCTAATATCCTTTTTGTTTTTTAAATGCAATTGTCTGCTTGCTTTTTTTTTTTTCTTCACTTTATAGCTCCGAGAAGGGGCTGTCATTTGCCCCACTGCTAAAGTAAACAAAGGGTGGGGTCACAGCCAAAAATTGCATGTAAAAACCGGAAATGACCAGCAATGACATTTAGCGGCGGCAAGTGAGGGAGCCTGCCTGTATATACTGCTCCTTCCTTCCTACAAAGAGGTACTGTCACCTATAATGCTATCACATAGGTGACTATTGGTCCCCTATGTAATAGCAATAAAATCATAAGATAAAATAAATAACACATTTAAAAAATACAAAAAGAAAACTTTTTTGAGCCTCCTCACCCCACATACACAGGCAGTCCGCTTTTCGGCCAAGTGCATCGTTGCACTATTTATTAAGGATGAGCAGCAAAAAAAATATACTTTTTTTTTTTTTTTTTTTCCTGCTCATCCTTAATAAATAGAGCCACAGTAAAGCACTGTTCTCCAACATTTAGAGATGATTTCAGCATTTCCATCAGAATAATTTCAGTTAATTTCTACACCACATTTCCGATTCCGGCTTGAGTTTCAGTTTGAAAGTACCTCTTATTAATAATTGGTCACATTGAAAAGAAGCAATACCCAATTCCTGTAGAAAACTACTAAACATTTTTGCAGCTCTTACAGTGAACGTTTTTCTGTATGAAGAGGTTTAACTTCTTTTCCTCCAAAGTGAACTATTTTCCACTAAGTTTTATTACCTTTGGTAAAATCTGTGAAATGTAATTGTGCTAACCTGTTTGTGTGCAGGATTATGAATATGGTCACAAGACAAGGTGCGATGTGGGCGAACACTCTGGGATCGTTAGGTAAGTGAAAGATTCTGTATTTGTATTTTATGCCAGTGGTAGTCAGCTGTCCAGAGCCAGCCTGTGCCTGTGACTGTGTTACACTGCTGGCAGATAAAGGCGATGTCCCGCTATACTGACTGCCATACTTGCCGTTCTGGTAGTGTGGCGCTAGTATTGGGCAGCACTATGCTTCCTTGAGAGTGTGCTGAATATTTTGTTTAGTGCTAGTTTGGAAGCATACAAAATAAGTGTACTATCTCCGTACATTTTCTAGCAACTATAATGGGGCTTTAGATGTGTTTTGTACAGCAATATAACAGTTTCTCATTTGGATTGTTGGTAATACAAATAATACTGGTTACAACTTTTGTACTTGAAATGACCCAGTGTGACATCAGCATTGTCCTAGGACATGCCATGACCATTTCACCAGCTGTATTTGGTTAGGTGTTTTATTGCCACAATGTTCTTAATTTGTTTAGTGTCAAAGGTCTATTTGCACTCCTGAGCAAGCATCTCGTTATTTAAATCAATGTGTCACAGGGAAGTTTTCATGGAAAATATTGTGTATTTTTAAATGGTGCATTGGATGGCCATGTGACTTACTTTTACAAAAATCTAATCACTTTTTACAATTTTTAAAAAAATGCATACAAATGTCAATATGTGAGTATCTAAATTTAAAAAGTAATGTTAGGATTTAATTTTCTTTTACCATATTTTCAGCATTATTGTACAGTGCCTTTGGGGTCCTAATTGAGAAGACCAGAGGAGCAGAAGATGACCTGAACACTATAGCAGCTGGTACAATGACAGGCATGCTGTACAAATCTCCAGGTGCTTTTTTTTTTTTTTTTTTTCTCTTTGGTGTTTGTTTTTTTTTCCTCCTTTCTAGTTGAAAAACTTTGTATGAGCTTGTTCAGGTTTTATTATTCTGCAGTCTCTTTACTGTTGTCCTGGACCAAGAAGAACTCCCCCCTGATTTTGAAGTCTGGTGACAACAACAATAGTTTGACCAAGATCGACTGCTTAGCCTGGGTGAGGGTAGTAAAGACCTAGCAGGTCAAGGACAAATTAACTCCCCTTTCTCAGTTTAGTGGTGCTACTTAAGAATAAAGTCAAACTATATATGCTGAGAGGAATACACGCTGTCAAGATTTTAGAGGATTTCAGTTTTAATTCTTGCTTCTGTACTCTGGACCCTCTTAGGTGTGTCTGTCTGCTGTAAACTGGCCCCCCTCTAGACATTCAGTACTTGTGTATTTCTCCAAAAATAAATGCTAAGTGAAGTAAACTTAACTATCTCCTGACTGTGCCATAGCCAAAAGACTACTGTAGCGCGGTCATCTAGTTCTGGGAGGGAGTCTATAGATCCTCCCAGAACCCTGGGCATACATCAGGCACACTTCGTGATCGCTGTGTCCTTTTGAACACAGATGATCACAGATAGAGGTAAAGGGCCAATCACACCAGCCCTTTACCTTGTGATCAACTGTATCCAATCACAGCTGATCACAAGTAATCAAATGCTGGTTAATTGGTGCTGTCACAAAGCTAATAACTGACAATCCTCTATCCGCACACCTTTACACTGATTTATCAGTGCCCATTATTAAAGCCTCATTAGAAAAGAAGAAAAATTACCTATGTGCAAAATTTTATAACAGAAATCAAGAAAAAAGCTTTTTTTTTCCCCATTTGTTTGATTAAATAAATAAACAGTAGAGATTAACAGTGTTGCATGACCGCACAATTGTCATTCAGAGTGCAACAGAGCTGAAAATTGGCCTGGGAAAGGGGGGGGGGAGTGCCCAGTATAGTGGTTGTAAAGGCTCAAGGTTTTTTTACTTCATATATTCAATGCATGAAGGTAAAAAACCTTCTGTGTGCAGCAGCAGCGCACCAGCTCTCCTTAATATTTACCTGTACCCCATCTCAATCCAGCAATGTACACAAGAGCCTCGGCTCTCCCGCTTCTCTCCCTCACTGGCTGGGACGGCAGCAGTAGCCATTGGCTCCTGCTACTTTCAATCACAGCCAGTAAGCCAATGAGGAGGGAGCTGAGCTGCACTCCGTGTCTGAATGGATCCACAGAGCAGCGGCTTGCTATGGGGACACTAGGAAGGAGGGAGGGGCCTGAGTGCCGGTGGGGGTCTCCAGAAGAGGAAGATCGGGGCTGCTCTGTGCAAAACTACTGCACAGAGCAGGTAACTATAACATGTTTTTGTTCTAAAAACAAAAGAGCCTTTATCACTAAGGACTGAGTTGGGATGTTTGAGCTGAACAAAATAAACAAGGATTTCAGCAGGGCATCTTCCAGGACCTCAACTTGAGAGATGATTGGTTCCTCCTACAATGGGAATTACTAGCATTATAGAGTGGATCGCAGTGAGACCTAGTGTGAGGCAGAAAGTTTCTACAAGCATCTTCTCTCAGGTTGCTGTCCTGGAAAATTCTTAGAAATATAATTACCAGAAAGACTAACTGGGAATCTTTGAAATTTCCACCCACCCAGCCGCATCATTCATTGACCGTATAATGGGAATGGGAAAACTACAAGTTCCGACAGCCTTTGCAGCTGACAGTTTGTATTTCTCAATGAACTACCAGGGAGCTGCTCTCTAGTCTATGTAGTTCATTGTACACAGTTCGCAGGACAGTAGCATTACACCCATGGTCTGATCATGGGTACAATGCTTCATCACAGGCTCCTAAAAAAACAAAAAAAAAAATACATTTTTTTTACCTGCAAAAAAAAAACTGAAATATGAGCACTGCTAGCTCTTTTTCTGGGGGAAAAAAAACAACAAATACAGGTAGAACAATTTTATATCTGACACACATTTCTTAGCCAAAACATTGGCTATGTAAAAGAGAAAATGTTGCAGTGGAACACAGTCCAGTGAAGTGAAAGGATTTTTTTCAAAGAACATACAAGCCAGAGAGTAGAATGCTCTACCCTCTGGCTTGTACGTTATTTGTAAAAAATCCTTTCACTTCACTGGACTGTGTTCCACTGCAACATTTTCTCTTTTACGTGGCCTCTGTTTTGTGATCCCCTTAGGATGATCTAGTCCCTCCTAAAAAGCCGTGCAGAGGCTGTCTGTAAGATAATAGGACCCTCCTCTGTCAAGTTTGCTATTCCATGATGTGACACAGACTCTGCCTTTTGGTTACTGCACTTTGTGTGTTGTATAGTTACAAAATAAATGTGGCTATTCAGGAACTGTGTGTGTGTCCCCAAATGTTTTGTCTGCGGGTCTCTAAGTTATGAATCTGGTCCTGTTTGCATTATGGTATTCTCTTGTAATAGGATTCCTGTAAAATAGCAGTGGGTTTCAGGTAGGGTCATGCAAGTTGGCAAGTTTAAAAACAGGTTCTGGGTAAGAAATGGGTGTGCTTGGGTCTTTAGTATATACCACTTGGCATCTGCCCTGTAGCAGAAGTACTGCTACAGGGCGGCACGGCTGCGCAAAATCAAACTCTGTGATCGTCGGCAAAGCTGACGGGAGAGACCTGTATGTAAACAACACAGATCTCTCTCCTGTCAGCATGGACATGCTGCTCTGTATCTCTCTGCACAGCAGAGATGCACAAAGCAGCATGTCTCCTAAGTAAAACACAACACGGCACACTATTAACTCCTTCCTGCCCAGTGGCATTTGTACAGTGTCAGTGCTTTTTATTAGTGTTGATCACTGTACTAGTGTCAGTGGCAGTTCCCATCCAGTGTCAGAATGCCCTCTGCAGTCTTGCTACAAGTCGCTGACTGCCGCCATTACTAGTATAAAAAAAAAAAAATTAAATTTCAGTATACTGCCATTTTGTAAACGCTATAACTTTCAATGAAACCAAATATAATACAATTATTGGAATTGTTTTTAGCAAAGAAATGGTAGAATACATTTTGGTCTACATTTATGAAGAAATGTGTGTGTGTGTTTTTTTTTTTTTTTTTTTTTTTTTTCTGTTTATCAAAATTGTCGGTATTTTTTTTTGTTTATAGCGCAAAAAATAAAAACCGCAGAGGTGATCAAATACCGCCGAAAGAAAGCTCTATTTGTGGGGGGGGGGGGGAAAGACATACATTACATTTCTGTACAATATTGCATGACCGCACAACTTTCATTCAAAGTAACAGTGCCATATCGCAAAAAATGGACTGATCAGGAAGGGGGGTAAATCCTTTGGCAGGCAAGTGGTTAAGATGGTCTACAGGCTACTGATCTTTTCCCTGGCGAATTTTACTTCTATTATTCTGCAGTGTGCTGTCATGTTGCAGGTATTTGGCAATAGCTGTCCTGTAAAGGCTCCAGTGGTAGTCAGCTGTCCAGGATGTCTCTGTACCTGTGATAGTGTTACACTGCTGGTAGAGAAATGTGAAGCTTTACATGGAAATCGATGTCACTCTTTTGTTGACTTTTGACCTGGGTGTTTAGCTGATCTGTGCTTCTCTGAAACTGCTGACCTCTTTTCATTGCTGTCTGCATTAGTCTGGAAGTACACAGTTTTTCCATTTCTAGTATGAATTAATGCCAGTTCCTTTACTGTAATTTTGCTCCAGTCACTTATTTTTGTTCATATAGCTCTGTTTGCTCACAAATTCTTCCCTGAATGTATGGTGGGAGCGCATGCACTGCATATGTCTTCAAGCGGTCATGTGACCTACTGCTGTTCCAATCCTGCTGCCACATAACCTCTTTGGTGGGGAAGGGGCAAAGTACAGAGCAGATCTTAATTGCTGCTCATGGGAGAGAATGGTTTTAAAAATAGAACTTTGTACTGCCTGTGCCAGTCGGCACTTGAAGCATAAATGTGCAAACCTGCAGTCCCAGTTGGGGGCATACATATGAGGGATGCTACACCAGAGCTACAAGGAGAGTAGCCACCTAGGGCACAACCTTTTGATCAGAGATTGTCCAAAAAAAGATATTAGCAAAAAAGGAACTTCAAAAATCGTTTAAAAAGTTGTAACTACCAGAAGCGTACCACATCCCAGTTTATGAATATGGATTACTGTTGCCAGTTTCAAACATACTTGAGCTGTTTTGACAAGAAGAGTTTAAAAGAGAAGTATGGCCAAAGCTTCTCGAGGGTCACAGGAGTGCACTTCTTTTTGCTCTCCTGTGACTCAGAATGAGCTGACAGCAGACTACCCATCAGTTGATTTCACAGAGCTGCTCTAGACAGATCCCAGTCATGTTGATGATAGGCAGCTGGCTCTTGCTTTCAGCAAACAGCTGAGAACTGAAGTCCGCTTCACCTGCCCAGCAATTGCTCCAGTTCTCAGTCTTAGCCCCGGTCACATCGGGTGCAATTTGCATGCCATGTGACTTGCAAAACGTATGCGAATTTGCACCCTATTGTCCCTATTAGAGCGGTCACATCAGAGCCGTACCGCCTTCTAAAGTAGTGCATGCACTACTTTTGGTGGGATTTGCATAGACACCTGTGTCCGATATCTTGCAAATTGCACCTCAAAACGGCAAGTCATTTGATCTTGAAATCGCGCAACTTCACTGTAAGTTGCATGATTTCAAAATCAGCTTTGATGTGACCGGGGTGTAAGAGCTGAAGTGCATCACATCACACCGATGCTGCATCATTGTGGTGAGTATGTATTAACTCCAATCATTTCCTTTTAATAACCTTATAATTATAACTACTTCATATGTATATTTTGTAAACAGCATTACATCCACAAATGTCTACCATTCACATATTGTTTCCTATTATGTGGTTACCTGTAAAATAACTTGCAGCATTAGAACACTATTAAGTGGAGTTTTACCTGTCCAAGGTTCAAAAACGTGGCGAAGTGAAAAGCCAGCAAATGT